GCGCCCGCTGGGCATCATAACCAGAGGTGTGGAGGATGAGTTTGTGGTCATCAAAGAGAGATGCGGGGCCCTGGGTCCGCAGGACCATGACGGACATGTCTTCCAGATCTGTGAAGCCAGAGAAGTGAATCAGGGAAACTGGGGGACCCCCCCCGCACCTCCTCCCCCTGCCTCCCCCTGCTGACCCTTCCCCAGGTCCATGGGTATCAAGGGCCTGCATCAGACCAAGCCATAACATTTGTGTGCATGTCACATGTCTTGCCACTTCGTGTCCCCTTTCGGGCCTACATTTCCTCATCTGCCTGGAGAAGTGTGAGGTGACCGTAACCATCCCCATGCCTGAACACCCAGGGACCCAGGCAGCCCCAGTTCCTCACCTTGCAGGCAGCGCACGTGCTGGTCATAGTTGTCAGGGACATCACAGCCCAGATCGTCCCTGTCACAGTTCACCAGCAAGATAGCTCCATACCCACCAGGACCCCAGACCCACTGCCCCTGCAACAGGAAAACAGCCAGTGAAGGGAGGTGTGGGCCGGACCTGCGCCTCCTCCCCTGATACTCCTGTAAGACCCCTAAGCCGTCATCCTACCCTGTGAGGAGAGGTCCACTTTCACATCCTGCTCAAGAACTATCAATAGCTCCCTCATGTCCACACTCTCAAATCCAAGCCACGGCTCTCTGTCGTGGCTGTGATATGCCTCCAGCCCATGTGGCATTGCTCTACAGGCGACCTCTGGTTGTAGGGACCCACCCTCCACTCCTCCCCTCCTTCCTCTATGTCCTTGTTCTTGCTGTTCCCACACCCAGAGTGCATCCCTCTGTGCTCCCAGGGAAGCCTTCCCTGCTCCCGCCCTCACCACGACCTCCTCTGTACTCTCAGTGACTTTAGTGCCACTACAACGGGGTGAAAGGATATGTAACAGTACACACTGCTAGAAGCGCTGTTTCCCCTATAATCTACACTAGATTGTAGTGTAGATTATAATACACTACAATCAGGGTCAGTGTATTATAGCCAGGGACCAACCCTACTAGCTGCCTGAGTTTGTAAATAAAGTTTTACCAGAACACTGCTATGTCAGTAGTTTATTGTGGCTGTGGTAACTTCACACTGCAGTGATAAAAATGAGGCAGTTTGACTTTTATTTTTTCAGTTTGACTTTTTCTTTCTTTTCTTTTCTCTCTCTCTTTCTTTCTCTCTTTTTCTCTCTCTTTCTTTCTTTCTTTCTTTCTTTCTTTCTTTCTTTCTTTCTTTCTTTCTTTTTCTTTCTTTTTGTGTTTTTCAGACAGGGTCTCACTATACAGTTCAGGCTGGCCTTGAGCTCACTTTGTAGCCCAGGCTGATCTTGAACTCTCAGCAATCCTGCCTCAACCTCTCGAGTGATGGGACTTCATGTGTGTATGACTACATCCGGCAAGTTCTCTGGCTTTTATTTTTTAAGAAAATTGACAACACTTGACCTAAACTATAATTCCAGAACTTTCTTCTGACAAAATCTAGGAACTTCTGTGCCTGACAGCATGGGGTAGTGATTTTTCTTCTGGCAGAGATCCCCCCCTGCCAGGACCTGGTCCTCTTTGGGTTTCTCTGACTATAGCATCCCCTGGGAGGCGGATGCAGGGGACACCTGTAACGGCCTCTCTCCTCCCACCTCAGCTCCACACTCCACTGCCCCTGTCTGGGTCCAGGCCAGGAAGCTTACCTTGTCCACGACGCTCCTGTCTTGCCTGCCCTCATAGTTCAGGTCGCAGTCCAGGGCAATGTCTGTGGGAAGAGGTGGCAGGTGAGTTCTTATGAGGTGCCCGGAGACCTGAGACTGGTGGAGGCTTCTGTTCTTAGTCTTTGTCTCAGGGCCAACACAACCCAGAGGCAGGACTCAGGCTTCCGTCCCTCCCTGAGCTGGGGAATGAGGCCTTGGAGAGGAAGAGCGGTCAGAGCAAAGACTGGGGCCAGAGGCTGTCTGTCCTGGTGACCCCTTTTCTAGATCCTCAGAGCCCTTGCTGGCTGGGTGCACGCTGCACTGAGTCCAGGTGGCCAGAACCTTCTTGTTCTGCAGGAGGCCGTCTCATCTTGGAATGGACGGTAAGTCCCGACTTTGGTATCAGGCTGCCCCGGATGTGAATCTGGACTCTGCCACCTGCTGGCTGGGCAGCCTTTCTAAACTTCGCTGCAGCAGTTATTTCCACCCGCAAGTCCCAGCCTGTGCTCCTCATCCCCACCCCATCTTAAGTCTTAACCTTTCTCCCTGGAAACCAGGAGAGATCTTACTATACAAAGGAAATATTCAAGTGCTCAGAATCAGTTTTCCTGCTTCTACAAAACCCTTCTGAGCTCTTAAAGAAGAGCGAAAGGGAAGAAATGGATTTTAATAAGTGATTTAATGTGAAAGATACCCAACACCATATAGTAATATACAGATGTGAGCCCCAGAAGCCAAACAGGAAGAACTGAAGGCTGCGCAATTCCTCCGTGGAAAACTCAGACAGTGATACCAGACTCGGGCCCCCCTCATGCATATTCAGGAGAGCAGACTATAAGCACAGCAAGGAAGTGCACATCACAAAGCAATGCTTGTCTCTAGACAAGAACGGAGCGGTGTGTCTGACAGTCCTGTGTCCTACCTACTCCCAACTAAAGTAAGGCAAATTCAACCAGTGAGGAGATGGCACCCTACAAGACAGGAAACACCACTAAAGGCTGCTACCATGCAGGAAGCAAGTTGTCCCCGTGGACTGTGAATAGGGATATCAGGCCAGCCAGGGATATAGCTCAGTGGTGTAAGTGCCTGCCTGACAGGTGTATCAAGAGCTCATCAAGAGCTCAGCCCCCTTTTTAAAAATTTTTTATTTATTTATTTATGTGTGTGTGTGGCCAGCTCAGCCCACCAGGAGGCGGGGCTGGCTGGCATGTGGACTGGGGGACTGAACCGCGGTCCCTGTGCTTTGCTAAGCTTGCTCTAAGTAGGTGCCTTAGACCACTGAGCCGTCTCACCAGCCCAAGCCCTTTTGAGAATCAACATTTAAAATATACCCCCTCTTCAACCTACAAGCTCTACTTCTGCAAGAGTCAGCAACAGAGAAAGCATTTGCTCTTCCTGGCTATTGCTTTCCAGGCTTGTGCGAATACAGACCCCTCACCCCAGCCCCTAGAAGGAGGACCCCAGGCCCACAACCTGTGGCATCTCTCAATTAGTTAAGCAGCTTTGCATTTGGGTTTTGACTAAGTGGCTTTTTGCTCTGTGAAATGCTGGTTGACATTTTAGTCCGTTTCTATTTATTCATTGGTTTTTATTGGACTTCTCCATAGGCTGTATGTGCTGTTAATATATATATTAAATCTCTCCTCCCAGCCCATAATTTGACTTTGTACTTGCTCCCATTATAAAGTTGTTTTAAACTTTGAAGTTGCCTAAT